GTTTTGCTCATTGTTTTCTTCGTCGGTACAAGTGTATTACATCTGAGGGGGAAATATTATTTGGGAAACATGAAAATTCACCTTATTTTTCAACAGACCTCGTACAAAGGAGTATGAAGTACAAAGATAATGTCGGCGGTTGGTTAGCGTGGATGATTCATTCTACTCGTTCAGTCAACCGTTATGTGAATGTTGGTTCGATCCCAACTGTCGGTTCATCGATGTTTGATACATATCTTCCAACATGTGCCCTGAATATCATGTTAGATAATCGTTAGTTCCACAAGTCTCGACTTCTGAGGATTGTCGTCCATAAGGGGGCAACAGCTGGTTGACAGAAAAACATAATATTTTCAATTTTTCCGTTTTACAATTCTGTCAAAAATAAGTTTTTCCACAAAATCATATTCTCAACAACTACATATTTTCTTGAGCGTCATACTGAGTAGGTACAATGAGTATAACGTTTTTATTTTTCTATTGCTTTGTTGGTGTAAAGTACGCTCAGCGTGTTCAAATTCAACTCTCGAAAAAGGTTTGTTTCGAAGTTACCAAGGCAACAAGAGAAACGAGAAGTTTGAATGCCAACTATTTGATAAGTGTAGGCAGTATCATTAGGTGAAATATAACTAATACTTTTTTTTCGAATATTCAAAGATCCTGAATTTTCAAAAGAATACGATAAGCACAGTTTGTCATGAGATTAATATGACCAATTCTTACATTTACTTATCAAAGTCTATTTGTGAATCAAATACTTTGAAGGAATCTATGTTTCTAGGTGTACCATTTTTCTCCCAACGTACCGTCCTCCCAACGAATATTTATCTCATCTGGGTATCTCTTCCTCGCAGCATTTTATGCTGCCTCATCGACAAGCTCATTACCCTCCATGTCGGAGGCTTATGTTTCTGCCTGATTTCTGGAGATGATTTGCTATATTGAAGGATCTTTACAAAATATGTCGAAAAGGAATTCCAAAGTACATATTCAAGAAAATAACTGTGGATCTGGTTCTGCATATATCAATGCTTGCGTACAGCTTAGCAGTATATGTACTGGTGTTTTCAGGAAGTTCAAGAGAAGCATTTCGAATTCCTTTCGTACTTTCCATTCCTTCCACGGTTTTTGATCTGTCTGATAATAGCTGAGCACAACAGTGATTATGTGTGATTATGTCTTCGAATATCAGTGGATATAGCTCTGTATTGGCTTTTACGAAATGATGTGCATTTATATTTGGTGGTTTTTATCTTCAGGGAGCCGTTTTAAATCGCCCTATTCGATACACTGGTTTCATGTTTTATTCTATATCGGAAAACATTTTGGAAACTTAACTACTTGTTTCAATCTGTTCAGAATAACTTGATAATTCGTACTGGAACCCCTAGCATGAAATGAATCTATTGGAAACACTTTTCCAACACCAGAACAAAATTACGGTCTCTCAACGCGCGTTTCAGTTAGTATTACCTAACTGTTATTGTTCCTATGCTACTACCTGTTTTTAATAACCCTGATTTGTTATGTATTTCCCCTACATTTTTTCTCTGATATTTATCTGGTTTTATTTAGAATTTTTACGTAAGAGACCAAACAAAAGGCTTTTCGAAATAAAACCTTTGTCGCTATTCATAGAACTCATTCCACACTTTTCGATCACCAAGCTTTTGAAGGCATCCAGATACCTGTTATTCTGTACCGTTCTCAAAAAATTTTGAACATTTCTCTCTTATTCTGTGGCCGTTCTCTCCAGTCTATGAAACCGAACATGCCAAACATGTTCCTTGAAGCGACCTTTTATAGTGCGTTTGGTTTGACCAACATATTTCTTTTCACAATCTCTGCAGATTATTTCGTACAAGACTTTTTTTCCATTTTTTTTCCAACATCTTGTCTTTTGGACTGTTTAACACTTGTTGAAGTGTACGTGCAGTTTTGAAAGCCACACTTTAGGCAATTTTCAAAAAAGGAAGTACATAGAGAGAATACAAATACAAATTGGAGGTATTGAAAAACAGGTATTTCAGCATGGGAACAATAACAGGTAGAGTTAGGTAATGCTAACCGGGTACTACTAACAGGTAGTAGTTAGACCACTAGCATATAAAAACAACAACATAGTGATAAGGGAAACCCGCGTCGAAAGACCGGTGTTGGGAAAGTATTTCCAATATGTTCAGAATGAGACAATAAATGTTCATTAGAGTGGTTGAAAAGAATAGTTTATTAGCTGTGCTATACTTATTTTCAGTGAGGAGATCTCTGAATCGCGGTAAATCAATTCTGTAGGACAAGTAAGAAAAGCACCCACAGTTGGCATTGTTTGAGATAGTGATAGTTCGTTTTTTTTATTCAGAAGAAATTATATTCAAATCAATACAGCTAACATATTCGGGAGTCAATAAGGTTGCATTTCCATGGATGACATTCCAAATAATATTTGAAACATTCTCATTATGGCTAGTATTCACTCTCTTTGACATATAACCTGTTGCCACAGACACCAATTTCCAACCTTCTTTTCGTTGGATTTGATCTATTTTCATGCCACAATTTGCCACCATATGAATGGTGGTTGGCGTACGTCAAAACGCACGTTTCGTTAATTTCTCAAGATATTATCATTTAAGATGACGTTCAACTTCTGAACGGTTTATTGTTAAACACTTGATTGGTGCATTTCCCTTCATTATATCGTGATAAATCTCAGTATAAATGATCAATAGTACGTAACTAAACGTGCGAAACTGTCGAATATAATCCAACGTCCTTCTTGGTAATAGCCAGGGGAGTAGTTGTTTTCTGATAGGTGTCAGCCCATTAACCTAGAGTGTAGGGAGTTGGGACTGGCCTGAACGAATTGTTTCTTCAGATGATTTGGCAAATTATTAAGTTCTTGTAGGTTGCCATCAAACAGAATGATTATATCGTCTACGTAGGTATAGAAGTATTTTGTTACATAAGGGAGCAAATGAATTTCCTTCACTAAATTAAAAGAAATACTTTGGCTCAAAAAAGGAAAAGGTTGGAACCCATAGCTAAACCAAAGTGTTGAAAATAAAATTCGTTATTGAACTGAAATTTTGTTTTTGAACGGTGACGGTGTCAAGTAAAATACAAACGTTTGAGCGATTATGGAAATCGATACTAGACTCAAAAATCAGGTTTTTAACGATACGGATACAATCTTCAGGGGCAACGCTTGATAAAAAATCAACTATATTAAAGGATACTAGAATACATTCGAGTGAAATTTGAACTTCAGAAATTCTCCTGACTAAATCAGATGAGTTATTTAGAGAAATTAAATCTGTCAACAAGAAGTTACGGCCCCCTCAATTATTTCCAGATATTATTCTATTTCTTTTCTACAACAAAAAATCCAAAAATTGGACAAAAACCATGGTATTTCCTTTCACTATAATAATACATAAGGCATATACCTTATCAATAGTGAAGATGAAGTCCCTATTTTAAAAATAACTGGAGTCTATCAACTTTCTTGTTCAACCCCTAATTGTTCCTCAGCGTATGTGGGCCTAACCGGTCGCTCTTTCAAGACCAGGGTTCAAGAACATTACAAAACAATTTAGAAATATAGACATGTTGATCCTTCTCATGAAATTAATACAAACAGCTCCTTTGCCAACCATATTATCAACCAACCACCTTTTCAATTCCGACACAGACATGAAATTTTTACGCATCTGTGATAAAGGAAGGACTTTCATACATTGATGAAGTTTTCTTTATCAATGAAATAATTGAAGACCCTCCTCTCCTTGAATGACCAGACTCAGTTTGATTGCATGAATTTTATCAATGTTCTCAATATTTGAATCTCAATTTCGTATTTCATTTCCTACTCCCTCAATCTAGATAGAAATAACCTCCAGTACCAATTTTATTTTCTCATCGCAGTTTTCTCCCCCTTCTTCTCTTCTAGATTTCAACTTTACCCAGGAGAGGTCGTTGTAATTTAATTTTATTTTGATCGATTTTATGAACCTTTCTGAAACTTTAACGCCATTTTATTAAACAGTGTGCATTTTTTTATGAAGACGACATTGTTTTTATTCTGATTGATTACCTCCACTTTGAGCTATGGACCATTTCTTGAATATAATTAATTTGCAAATTGATTTTTGTTTGTCTGGATTCGTTGACAACAAAAAGTATACTGATATCAGATTATGAATTGAATTAAAGCTGTCGCATTTCTTTTTTCATTATGATTTCCTACCACGTAGTAACGGCTACATCCATCAATTTATTATTTATTTTCGTTTTATATAATATATTGGTTCGAAATTATCAACTGGGTTGAAAGTAGTTACTAATATTATTCGTAACTGAGCATGAATGCAGCTCCTTTGCCAGCGACTAAAACCAACTGCATATGAACGTGAAGATTATGAATATAAAGATTTATGAATGTACAGAAAAGTAAGGTTAGGTTTTCCAACAGAATTGATATATTTACTTCATTAACATCAACGGTATTGTCGAATATTGCTGTCAAAGTATTCCACTGAATGGTATATGATATAATTTCTTTCATCCAGAGGATCGTGCATATTTGTAATCTCTCAAAAAATAATTGAGATGAGATGGTGAAAATTCAGAAGGAGATGAAACTGAAAAACCAATGTGTAATGAGAAAAGGAAAAATTAACTTGAATATGAATCCAAATATAAAGAACCCCGATATCTATTTGATTTGAATCAGCACATATTTAAAAATATTTTGTTTCTTTTTTGATACCATGATTCGAAACCATGTTTATTATTTGCATTGGCCCATGTGTTAAGAATCCTGATCATACTATTTCAACTTCAATATGTACCAGATGACAATAATTTTGGAGCTCGATTTATATGTACATTCATAATTCACATAACCTTGTGGAATCCCTCCTCAGACATTTGGAATATGAGGGACATTTTAAAGTGAGCTCCCGTTTGTCATCGAGTACATATGCATTATACTATTTCAGGATAATCTCAAAGAAGATTGCGAAACATCAGAAGAATAATTACTATGTTACTATTGACAGTTTCAATATTGAACTTTCAATTGTGAATACGTCTTCGATATACACATATTAAAATTCTATGTATGCAACGTTTCAGCGTTCCGGCAATTATGATCATCAGATATGAAAAGATGTATTGATGGAATTTTCAATAAAAATGAAGTATTTATTATTTATTTTAAGTGCTTTAACAATAACCTCCTCCATACGAGTACCGAGTAGTTGGCAGCAAGAATACCATAATGACAGAAGTAGAAGCAGAGGAATCAGACCACACAAGAATAATAGCCAAGTTCATAGAAGATATTCTAATGGAGTTAAGCATCTCTATGACAGAGCACAAATAACGCCCCTTGGATATATAGATCCATCAATACAAAAACATAACTGGACTCGAAGAAATGCCAATAAACAACTAGTCAAACAGAACTTACCAATGAACGAAACACCTTTTTTAAAGAAACCTATCTCAAGAAAATCGTTCAGGCCTTCCCATCAAGATAAAAGCCACCTTGAGTTCTATATGATTCCGAAACCAGTCTCTCACAGAATTCTCAGTAATTCACGAAGTCAACAATATGATCTCCCTCTTTCTCAAAATACGCCAGAGAAAGTGTCACAGAATATTCAGGCAACTGTGAATTTCCTTCAATTTCCTCAATCTAAAATTTCTTATAAACAGAATATTGATCCCCAGTTATCTCCCACTTTCACGGATTGGGTCCCTTCTTTTGGTAGTACTGATCAGTTTCCTAAAACATTTGCTGATCAAAGAATTCAAAATGAATTACCGAGTATTACCACAAGTAATCCACTTTCTCAAAATTTCGATCAATTTTTCAATGTACCACCAAACCGTGAATTTGTTAAACATATTCAGAACCATAAATTGGACAATCCACCCTATAACAATTTTGAGGGCGATTTACAAAAACCGAAGTTCAATGAAGACACCAAAGAACCTTTTCAGGTTTATAATATCAACAGTGTTGCAACCAATGTTCCGCCACAGAAGATTATCCAAGAGTCTGATGATTCTGGAAATCACGATTCTTTTGAAAATCATCTTTTCAAAAACTATAGAGATGACAGGACCCACGAACCGATAGCTTTCGATCCATTTCTTGAACAAGCGGATAATTCTGAAATAAAGAGAGAAGAATCCGAAAAAGCCCCCATAAGTTCTCACGAATATCCTGCAGACATACCAACAAAACCAATTTACCTTGGCCCAGGAAAATGGGCCAAGCCAGGAGTAAAATACAGGCCATTTATCAGCAGACAGAAGTATGATAAGCTGGAGGAACAAGAAGAAACACCAGAAGGTTATGACACATTCCTAGAGGGGAAAGAACTCTTTACTGAATTCAATAATAAATTCGACAAAAATCTGAACAGTTTTCCGGAAAAACACAAACTGGGCCAGTTTTTAAAAAATGAAACTCCAAACAAAAATGAAATGCAGGATGATTCTGAAGTGAAAGAAAATAGTGGAACAGTAACGGAAGATGAAAATCACGAGGGAGAAGAAAAAGAGTTCGTACCAACAAGAATGTATGCCCAGGTGAGACATACTGAAGGAATTCAACGTTTGCCAGCAGAACAGGCTGAAGAACCGAGATTACGAGAAAGTATAAAAGAGTCAAAAATTCAAACCGTTTATACTGAAGAAGGATATGAAGATAGCGCATATGACCATGCGGGGCATGAGAAGAGTGCTGAAAACGAAGAAGGATTCGAAGAGCATGAGAAAGAAAAGGTGCGGAAGATCGAGAAGAAAGTCCCCGCTCATAAATATAATCTTCATCTCAAGCCCAAATATGAATCGACTGCTTATGGAAATGAGAATGATTTGCCGACAGATGAAGAAATCGAACAGTATAAAAGAGAAGAATTGGGGATAGAAGACGCAGAAGAAGCTGGTTCTCAATTTGGAATATCTCCAAATTCAATCAATAACTTGAATGGGGAAGAAAAACGTACAATGCGAACAAATAATGATTTTATGAGTACCAAAGAAGAGAAAACGATGACTACCATGGGAAATGATAATGGTGACACTGAAACTGAAATATCTAGTAAAGTTAAAATTATTCACAAACCTAATAATCATACTAGAGCTCATGAATTTGTTAAGATATACCCAAAGACATTCAAAGTTGTGAGTGGAAAACACAGTAATACAGTGAAACCAAGTGAAGAAATCATTGCCAGAGTAGAAGAACTGCCAAAGACCAAACAAAATCTCTCGAATACTGTTGGATTTTATATCGAAGAAATCATAACCACTACTACTGAAATTCCAATCACTACTATTCCACCATCAGATTCTATTGAAATATTCACTGAAGAAATACCTATTACCACTCTAGCCACAACTGCTATCCCAACCCCCAAAGGCATTACCCCTCAAGAAGTTATTCCAGAAACATTGGATTCTATTGAAAAAGCATTTTGGAGCATAGCGCCAAGATCTCGAATAAAGAGATTCGTTAATGATTTTCCAAAAATAGAAGTGGATACTGACTTCATATCAAAAATTAATCACCATTTGGGTGAATCGAAAGAAGAATCACTCGAACAAAAGTATCCATATTATGATAAAAGCGAAGAACATGGTATTAACGAAAATTCTCCTCTGAGATATTCAGAAAACTTGAACAATATCCCCCAGAAAAAAGAAGGAAACATGGCGTTTTACGAACATGCGGAAAAAATGATTGTCTGTCCAGAAATTGATTCAACAGTAGAGCCCATACCTGAAAGAATTGAAAACGCTAACAAGGACAACAGTTATCCGGAAGGTGAGGATATAAAGAAAGAAGAAAGAGAAGATGGAAATCAGTCAGAACAAACTACGAAATTACCACAACAACCCAAATCTCCTAGACTCACAGGATTAGGTGACAAAATTCAATGTCTCAGAGCAAAATATTTTGGCAGAAATCCATTAGATAGTCCGTTTTTCCAAGAAGAAACTGTTGGAACAATAAAACCAATTTTTAAAATTTTAGAAAAAGCCAATATGAATAATGAAAAAGAATTCCCTGTAAATGAGGGCAGAGAAAATGAAATTTCCACCGATCACGAGGACTCTGAAAAAGCAAAGAATGGCATAGACAGTAATTTCGGAACTGCAACCACTGTGGATACACCCACAACTATGGATGTTGAAAAACTGAAATCCAATGTATATCAAGATGTCACTAAAAATATGAAAAAAATGTTTGAAACCGAACACAAGCAAACTTCTTCAGTTCAAACAGTACCAACTATCAGTTTATTGACTACTCCAGAATATACTGTTGATTTGAAGCCAAAACATATATATGACCAGATAAAATTATTGAAATACTTACCCGAAAACCAGAATTTAAGTAGTACTTCAGCTGGATCTAATAATTTTCAAATACCTTCTGAATTTGAGTTAGGAATTACTCAATCTACCATTATTAGTGAAAGGCAGCCAAAGTATAATAAAGGCGACGAAGACGATCTGAGTTATGATTCATCTGTAGATAGTCCAAGTATATCAGAAAATCTTACTTATGAGTTTCCAGAGGAAGGTTCCATTCTACCAGACGCAGAAGCTTTGAGGAGGCGTCGGAAATTCAGATATCGAAGGAAACGACCTGCCATCAAAAGGATTTTATCGACCACTTCATTTCCCATATTCGGCAACTACCTCACTACCAGCACTGTTTTACCTAAATACAAAGTTGTCAGTGAGGTTTTCTATAAAGATGATATCAAACCCAACGAACAGCTCAACGTTTTTACAGATATTTTGAATAATATCAGAAACTCCTCTCAGGAGGCTGCAGATGAAGTTTTCCAAAACCTCTCGGAACCAATAACTGTGGCACTTGATTCAAAGAGTAGAGTAGACCAGTTGAAAATGATTCAGAAGTATAAGGACGATTCCTATTTGAAAGCTTATGGAGATCAAGAGATCGATAACACTAATTATGATTTGACCAGTACAACCACAGCAAGGCCATTTCCTAGCGAAGGCACTGCTTTATACAACACAGACTTCATTAGAAATGGGTTGAAACAAACAGTACACCCGAAAGATAAATTTAAGTTATATGCGGCTCTCTTAGATGCACAGAACAAAAAAATATCCGGATTGGTCCCAAATATTTCACCTGTAATTTCTTCGCCACCTGTTGATGTTGAATCTCAAGATGATACCACAATGGTTATGGGGTTGATGCCACCCAGAAAACATCAATATAAAACTATTCTCCACTCCAAACAAGACAATCAAGTTTTCATCAGAAGTCAAGGAGATACAGAGAAGAAAGTCATGAACAATTTCTTAGTTATGGGCATGAAACCGCCCCCAAAACAAAGAATATTTGTATATTCCGATTTTCAAGACAGAAACTCTATCAGGACTAGAAGGGTACCTTCAAGAAGAGGAAAGCGAGATACTAACCGATCGTCATATGCCGAGTTGACTAGAAATCAAGCAGCGGAAAAAACCGATGAAGTGGAAGATGAAGACGATGATGACTATGTTCCGCATAGACCGAAAAACTACTATTATGACGAAAAAACTGGAAAAATAGTTTACAACAAAGACAATAAGTCAGAGGAGAAGAGTGATGAAGAAGTAGAGTATATAGAAATAGTTGAAGAACCGCCTGAAACAACTCCAAAACCGGAACCTAAGCAAAATCCAATATTTGCTACAGCCACACCTCCACCAGAAGGTCAAAGTTATATCGACTTTGTGAATAAGCTGAAAAGTGCACCAGACTACACGCTAATTCCAGATCCCACCACTACTGAAAGAGGAGCAAAAGTGAGTACAGAAAAAGTATTCACAACAAAAAAACCTGAACTAACCGAGCCTCCAGAGTTTTTCAATATTCTTGGGAAAGTTAGACAAAGTGGTGACTATAAATTCATCGCAGATGAGAAAAATAAAGATAAAGTTGTGAGTACAACATCAGAGTCTCCCGAAGAAATAATTGAAGAAGATGTCGAAGAAGAATCGATACCAACAAATGTTAAAAATTCGCCAGGAGGTGTTCAGCATGATCTGTTACCAGGCTTGCAAATATTTGACATTTCCGATTATATACCGAAACTGAAAAGTTACCTACCTAGAACTTCATTTGATACTTCTAAATACAAAACGATAAGCAGACCCACGGTATCATCAACGTCGAAAACGGAATCAATTTCTGAGGAGGAAAAAGTTTCGCAAATAAATAATACTCCTGTTCCTGAAGTGAAATCCAGTTCTGAGCAAATTGAAAATTCTCAAGCGAGTAACACAAATAATAGTCCAGTATTTATAGATAGCACAGATGTGGAAGACGTAATTGATTCTGGGGAGAAGGAGGTTACAACTGTGAGTCCATCAACAGTTACCGCAACATCAAACAGGCAGCAACATCCAATCAAACACACCCGTAGGAGAAGACCAACCACTTCAAAGAGTGTTGTTAACACCAGAAGATCAATCCCTACTACATCTTTGTCACCAGTAACACCAGAGTCTGACACAGAACACTATCCAAAGTCGAGGAGGAATTATCGAAGAAGGCCCACACGAATAAAAGTAACATCTACAACGGAATCACTCACAGATGATGATACAGATGAAACAACCAAAATCCTGCGCAGAAGATCCAACTTGCAGGAACTTAAACAGAAGGAGAGTGTCATATTGTCTTCAACTGTCCGAGCTGTCACCAATGAACTGAGTATAGATCCAAAGAAGTATGTGGATATCTTCAAAAAATATAATCAAAACAAAAGACATGGGGGTAATTATCGAAAGAGCGACAAAGATGAAGTGACTCCAAACCAAAGTGTAGTAGACGCCGACCCGATTTCTGATAGAAAAAGTAAAGACGTTGAAATCATCAGTGAATATGATAAAGATAAAAGACACGGCGGAAACTACAAAAAAGAGGATACAAGTTCCATTGAGACAAATATGGGAGAGAGTATAGAAGATAATTCCAAGGAAAAAGCTTTGATTGTTAATTTACTTCCAGAAGATTCACTCCCAGAAGATTCACTCACTGACAAAACAACTATGAAAATTACCAGTCCAAAAACTGGTAGACAATCCCGAAAACCAAAGAGAATCCTCATAAAACAAGTGAAAAAATATGAGGTGAACAAACCAGTTCATAGGCTGACCGATGTAGTAACTAAACCTGAAACTTTCTACACTGACCCCACGCTACCAATGTCAGTTAACATGCTTGCGAAGGTTGATGCTTTGTCAAGCGAGGAAGTGCGGAAATTTGAAGGAATGGAATCATCAAGTGAAGAAACAGGCATTGATGCCGAAGACAAAACTGAGTCTGCTAATTCAAATACCACGAAGAAGCCTGCTTTCATTGTAGATCCTAGTAAAAGATTGTATTTTTATGCTCCAATTTAGTGGCATGTGAATAATGAAGTAGATTATCAAAATTGTATAATAAAATTATATTAATGATTGTTGTCTTATTTTCTGTCAATAAAATCGAAATCATCACAAGCTACTTTTCGATCGAAAGTTATCTGAAAAGCAAATGGGAATTCATAAAGTGATACAATCAAAAATTCAGATAAGTGTTACAACAAATACTGAAAACATAAACTTACAATACGTTCACTCTGAGCAATTATACAGCGTGACTCACGGTCGATGGTAGGTTAGACGTTTCTGGAAAACGCAAAGCATGATTTTTCTGAAAATTTCACCTCTCACATTTCCTTACCTGTACTATCGATCTAAAATAGTTTCGGAATTGCGGCGTTGCCACTTCCATCAAGAAGTCCTAGCAACTTCATTTTTTTAAATGGAACAGCCCGTATATTAATACATTCTGGTATTTTAATACTTTCTTGTTGATAATTTCCTATACCTATCTCTATCTGTTTTCGAGATAAAAAATAAATTGTGCTAAATATGGTCCAAAACATAGCCTTAATTGAAATTAAGTACATCAGTACTCTCAATTCATGAAAAGTTGATATTTTGATGATAGTTTGGACAAACTCGAAATATTCAAATAACACCAAGAAATCGACTCCATATCATACAGGGCGTGCTAAAATTACTATTAT